TCAATAACTATGCAATAACATGGTAATAACTTAGCAAGGAACATTATATTACTAGATCTAGATCACTATATAACAACAAACAAGAAGAAGCGGACAAAGATGGCAGCTGGTTCTGGGTTTGCTTCCAGGCCTGGATCAACGTTTAAACATTTTCATTAATCCCTGACTTTGTTCCACTGTCGGCTGATGAACTCTGCCTCTTGCTTTGGTCTTCAGTCTTTCTGGAGCCACAGAAGGCCCATGGCGTCCTGGTCCGGACCCGGCGCTACAACTCCGGCTGGTTTGAGGAGCTGAAAATGGGAGATCTAGAGCGGGAGTGTCTGGAGGAGACATGTAGCTTTGAAGAGGCCAGAGAGGTGTTTGAACACACGGAGCTGACGGTGCGTCATGTCAGAGATGCTGCGACATTAGAGCTCCTTTGATCTAACTGATGAGACAGGATCCGTTAACTCCTGTTGGTTTCTTTTCTTTTCCTCAGAACGAGTTCTGGAAGAAGTACTCTGGTGAGCAATGATTGATCGACATGAGTTAGGGCTGAAGTATAGAGAGCTGAACATGTCTGCTGACCTCCAGGGTTTTATAAATAAACATTTCCACCATGAGTTCACCTTCATATTCTAATCAATGATCGTTTCTAATCTGTTTAAGTCCCTGACAGCTGTAAGTCTAGTCCCTGTCAGAACGGCGGGACCTGCATCCTGGACGGAGCGTCCTATGCCTGCTTATGTCTTCCTCAGTTCAGAGGACTCAACTGTGACCTCGGTGAGCATTGCGGAGTAGAAAATGTTGAGTTATGTCTGTTCTTAGCCTCACAGGCTCCAAACGAAGGTCATGAGAGAGAAGAATGAGTCACACAGCTTCCTCAATGGCATGAAGGGGAGGACTGCTGCAGAGTAGATGAGATCTAAACCAGGCAGATTAGGTGTAAACTTGCTGTATTTGTCTGACTATAACTTCCGATGGACAGCAGAGGGCATCAGTTCAGGCAGCAACTGTTGATTCTCATCTCATGAAGAAGAAACTAAACAAAAATGTAGAAGAGTTTCGGTTTGGGGTTATTAATAACTGGTGTTTCATTGATTTATATGAGTCGTCATAAAGAGTCTGAAGATAGATCTATGTTTTCAGAGCAGCAGCAGGAGTCTGACAGCTGTCTGCTGCAGAACGGAGGCTGTGAACATTTCTGCCATGAGGACGACTATGGACGAAGACTAGCGTGTTCGTGCGCTGGAGGGTACCACCTGGAGGCTGACGGGCGGAGCTGCATCTCAACAGGTTTACCTCAGAAAACCTTCACGTCCGACTGACTGCTCTAGTTCAGGCTTCCTGGAGGTCTGGGTCCCTGCACCTTCTCTGTTTTCAGGGTCTCCAGAGTCCTGTCCATGACCGGGTTATTGGATCCAGAGACATGATAACCATCTTGGTTATAAACACTGAGGCTCCGATTTTAGGGGCAGCCTATTATAAGGGCAGCCTACTTATGAGTCCTCCGAAGGCTGCAATTTTAGCCTCATTACATCACATCACTACGCCGAAGGCTGATCCACTCCACTAATTCCACCGCGTTCACACCAAACATGGATTCAGCCTTAAAGGCGTCCAATGCTTCAACTTGGACACCTTCCTATGACGTTATTGTATGGCAACACCACTCGGACAAACTGTATTGCTCCCATTTCTTAAAGTCGTAGGGAAACGGCTGTTACAATCATTGCATTTCTGAATTCTCCAGAGTGGTGCCCAGCTTTACACGAGTGAATAAAGTGAATGTGATTGGTCGATTATCAAGGGGGCGAGATTGTTGTGGCGGAAGGTTCGCAAGCAAGTTTGGTTGTGGCCGGTTTGTGGGAATCATCTTGCTAACCAGTTAGCAACTTAGTGCTAGCAGGTTCCCAATGGGAAATTCCATTGGGACCAAGTAGCACTAAGATGCTAAGCAGTTAGCATCTTAGTGCTAGTAGGTTCCCAATGGGAAATTCCATTGGGACCAAGTAGCACTAAGATGCTAACCAGTTAGCATCTTAGTGCTAG